TAGGCCAACTGGAGGTCTTCAGACCACGACAATGTCTCATTTAAGTCTGTATCAAGAAACTGCACTGGGAAAACCCAAAGGCCACTGGTGGAAGCTAGAAAACCTGCACCAGTGGGAGGAAGGATCTGTGCCAGCAGCCTGAGGATCTAAACTGGAGCCAGGAAGCCATGCTCAATGTGAGGACCAGAGACAGAGCTTCCCTGAAAAGAACCACAGCCATCTTTAGTGATAGCAAGGATCAGAGCTCCTCCGGTGATGAAAACAGCTCAGTTCACACCTGGCAAGCCAGCTTGACAGGCTTGTGCAGGAGAGTCAACAGTGCACCATCTTCTGCTCCAGTTCTGCTCTTAGGCTGTTAGCAACAATCCTCAGGTGGGCCTTCCACATGCAGCACTTCGCTGGTGCCGTTCAGAGGGTGTTACAAGGTGACTGCCAGGTATCCATCCATTAGAGAGCCTCAATATGGCCTTTGAACCAATGTCTCCTTGATACAGTTACTCTACGAAGTCCCCAGTATTCCTCAGGGTTTCCTGGGCACTTTTAGCATTCTGTAGCCTATACCAAATAGAAATTCTTTAACTCAATAGGTTTTCTACCACCTCAGGTCAGTTTTCATTCATGTATTACTCTATATCTTTTAAATTTCACCTCTGCTACAGGTAAACAGTAAAACTAAGATAATGGAGGAGTTTCTCCCTTCAGAAAAGCGGCCTAGAAGTAGGCGACATCAAGTTCCCATCTTGTCATTCTGCTGTCCTCAGTCCTTGATTTCAATCTTCAGGTTCCCTCACTCTAGGGGCCAAACATGGCTCCTGAAGGCAAGGGGACACTGGCAAGAACTTTCCCTGTTGCATCACCTGCCTTCAGGCACTTTTCAAAGTCCTGCAGCTCTTGGATTTGCATCTCATTGGCCAGGAGTGTGTCACAGGGCCACCACACTTGCTGAGGAAGCCAAGAATCCACAGGGAAATTCTCATGCTGAAAGTTAAGTTTTTTGCTTTAACTAGGAAGATAAAATAATAGAAGGAACTTTTTCGTTGACACTTTTCAGTTTTATATCAAATCACCAGGGTTGGTTACCTAAAGCTCTGTGTTCATTTTTCTTTTGTGACAGAAAGCATTCATTCCTCCCACCTCATGAAAATACTATCAGAAATGTGAGCCATTCTTGATATTAGCTCTAAGACCATGACATCCAGGTATCTCACCTCCCTCGAGTTTGCATATGAGTTCACATGCAGACTAAAAAGGCATCATTTCTATTCCTAATAGGACAGCATGCATAATGCATAGGGGCAAGAAAGCTGCAGTAAAATTGACCTTTTACAAAAGGGAAAACTAGCAACCCACTAGTGACTTCTCTACAGCAATTTAAAAAAGTATGTCACATCAAAGCAACAATAACAACAAAAAAACCCAAAACAACCACCCCCCGCCAAAACAACAATAACAACAAAAACAAACAAACAAAAAAACCAACCCAAGACACTGCTACACTATATGACTGAATACTTGGTTTGCCCTGAACACAACCATCACGTAGAGCGACCCTGTCCCCACCATGGTTCCCATCCTTTCCCCTCATCTCAACCCCACAGTCTAGGACACTCTGACCCCACCCCTGGATTCCATCCAAAATCGACTACATATCCCTCTCCAGTCTGACCTTTCCTATCCTGTCCAACAACAGTATCCCCTCCTCACCTACCCAAGTGAACTTACAACCTGTCCTTTCTCACCTGTTGGGCCACAGCCTCCAATTCCTGTCACCTCTTCTTACATTACATGTTTAGAAGTTTGTTTTTCAGTTTTTGTTTGTTGGTTTTCAAGTAAAGCATCCTCCATCTTGTGGCACTGGCAGTAGAAGAGACAGCTTACACATAAGACCGTGGAAAAGGAGCATTTGTTATGGCCTGAGTTGACGGTGGGTGTTCATAAAAGCTGAGAACTAGAGAATAAAGGGTGGAGAAGCACCTGGGATTGGATAGAGAATGTTTCTGCCTGCAACACCTACTAGCCAGTGGATCCCCTGTCCTCCCACTGTCGGATCCTACCGGCATAACCCTTGCCAAGCCCCAGCTTCTTGTTGGTGGAATAAAATAGCTGACTCCCACGTGATAAAGCAGGAAAGGTTCATTTCAGCTCAAGGTTTGTAGAGGCTTCAGTCCATGGCTGGCTGCTCCCAGGCAGGCAGCGGGAGGAGGAGCAGGGCAGAAGAGAAATGGTTCCTTCCTGGGGTCAGGCAGGAATCCTGAGTGCAGTGTGTATAGGATTTAGTCTCAAGTATAACAACTGCAAGTCTAAAAGCCTGGGCAGCTGGAGCCAGGCGTGGGCCCAGGATGCCCTGAACCATAGGGGCGCTGGCAAGGGGCTGGGTGCTCTCAGAAGGGGCCCAGGCTTGGGCAGGCAGGGAGCCAAGAGGCAAGCAGAGTCATCTTAGTGACACAGTTTTGAGAGCTGGGGTGGGGATCTAGGGTTAGGGTGGGGATTGCTGCAGAGTTCTGGTGGCCCTGCAGGCCCTTTTTTTTTTTTTTAAACCAAGGCTGGGCTAGGCTGGTCTAGGTCCCACCAAGAGGCCACTTCCTGAGCCCCTCCAGCCCCCACAGTAGCTCCAGGAGGCAGGAAGACAGGAGTGTTGTGGATGAGCAGGCTTAAGGTGATGAATAAAGAGTGACACAGCACCTGACAGGAATAAGGAGGAGGGAGCTGGAGGCAGAGAGAACAGTCTTCCAAGCCCTGAACTGAGGAGCCCACACAGGGCTGATGGTGCAGGTGTTAAAGAACAGACAGTGAAAAGCAGAGAAGGGGACCCAACCAATCCACTCTAGTGCCTGGAAATTTTACAGATAATAATTCATTAAGTCTCTCAGTGATTTTATAATTGTTGCACATTCCTCAAAGCATGTATTAGATTTTTCCCTCATGTCATCATCTAAAAATTAAAAAGCTCTTTGTCTGGTAAACTCTACAGTCATGGGATGGATGTATCACAATTGCTGTTCAGTGCTTTAGGTAATCCAGCAGGTCAGGGAAGAGTTGATAGCTCCTCTTAAGAACACAGAGGACTGCAGTGGGATGACCCCATCAGCTTCCTGGCATCTCCAGCAAGCCTTCCAGTCCTGTCCACAATTAATGCATAAAGGAAAAACAGCTTTTCCAAGTCTTGGTGTAGGGATTAGGGGTAGGAAATAAAGCCAGGTCGTAGCCTGTTTCATCATCACCAGTCAGGACACTGGGCTGCGGGCAGGGATAACAGAGAGGGCTGGTGGCAGAGTGGGAAGGAAGCTGGCAGCGGGCAGAGGGCAGGCTGAGGTGTCACTGCTCATGCCCCAGCCTGCAGGCCTCTTCTGTCTTCCTTACCGGGCTCTGCACCTCGCGAGTAAAGGGCTCTCCCCCAAAGTCAAAATGACCATGAAAGGTAAATATTTTGATGAGTTCAGCACACAGATGCAGCCACAACAGGGCCACTCCAGGCACCTGCACACGTGCATGCCCTCAACAAGTGGCAAGAATGGTGGGGCAGGTGTGTCCAAGTAGAGATGGTACATTTTGAGGAAGGATAATGACAACGTGTCTCTTATGAGGAAATTTTCAAATTTACACATCCCCAGTGGATTTTCCTCACACCTCACCCAGGTGTTAGAAAGGTAAGGGAGGTCCTGTGGAAGCACAGGACTTGGAGAGGCAGAGCCCACTGAGATGTGAGGTCATCACAGGTGGTGGGCAAATAACACACTGGGCAGGACTGCTTGCTCCTGATTCTGCTCCTGTGGACACCAACAAAGGCACTGAGCTGCTAGTCCCAAAATACAGCTCATACAAATTGGGCACTATGTAATCTGGAAAGACTAAGCAAAGTAGTGCTACCAGCTTGTGTATTTTCTATATTGTACTTTTTAATCAGAATGCAATTGTTTTACTTTAAACAAGCCTGTGTCCAGGGCTTTCAATAGATTGGGGATGGAGCTGCTCTGCTACTTAGGAAACCCCTAGCAGGAAGCCTGTGGTCTACCAACGGTTCAGAGCCAGATTCCTCACCCATATGAGTTAAGTGCTGGCCACATTTCCCACAGCACAGTTTTCCCTGGAGTGGGGTGAGCAGTTCTCTGCAGGTGCCCTGTCTGGAGCAGCTCTGGACAAGCTTTAGGCGAGATGGGGTAGGGGCAGCAGGAGACCATCTTTTCTAGGGCTGGGCGCCTACCTCTGGCCTCCAGTTATTTTCCCCCTGGTAGGGACTCTGAGTTACAGCTTCTCAGTTTAAACTCTCAGATGACAGCTTCCCCCAGTGCCTCCTCAGCAGACCAAATGCACCACATGTGTGGCCCTGGGTTTCCCCTTCCATGGAGCACGATTAAGATGAAAGCCGCACCTCATTAGTAGAGACAATGAACTTGTCTCATACGATCTAAACCTTATTAGGGGGTGAACAAGCCAAGGCTTTGAGACTATTGCTTCGCAATGCTAGGAAGAGCGAACATCTAAGGATCCAAGAGCCAGCGGGCTGTCAATGCTTAGGGGCCAAGAGACGGTGATCCCTGCAGTAAGTTTTCTGATGCCTTTTGCTGAAAACCCAAAGGTCAGAGGGATCGAGAGGCCCCATTGTGAAGGTCTGTATTTGTACTGAAAATGAAGATGAGCGAGCTTCTGCCTTCTCCCTGAGCTCGCTCTGGGACTCTTGTGCATCCTGCAGGAGCCCTGGCGAGTCCGCGGAAGGGGCCTCCTCTTGAAACACATACGCACCCCACATCCACAAAGGTGGCTGTGCAGGGCCAGCTGCGTGAGAAAACCTTGGATTCACTCTTCACTGGGGGAAGAAGTGATGTGAGTTTGTTAATGTATAGAACTCTCCCCCTACTTAAGATAACGTGATTGTCAGTCCAGAGTCTCCAGTGGGGGATTTCCGGGTGTCCCAGGCTCCGCCTAGACTGGTACGTCACTTCTCGGGGCAGACAGTTGTCTGGGTGACAGGACGCCGGAAGACGCCATCGATGTCTAGAAGGTTGTGGACGTCCTCCAGCGATCTGCAGATCCGAAGGCAGCCTTGGGGATCCCCTCACCCTGCAGAAGCTAATGCCGTCCCTCTGTGGCCTGGGGCATCGCTGGGCAGCTTCGGGGCTGAGCGGGCCCCAAGAAACCTGCTCCGATGGGCACGTGACGCAAGCGTCCCTGGCTTGCCGGCTGGCGACCGCGCTGCTGCTGCTCGTGTGTTGTGCGCGGGCCACTTCGGGTAAGAGCTGGGACTGGACTGCAAGAGAGGTGCCTGAAGGAGGTGCTCCTAGGGCGGGCTCCGTCCCAGGGCTCGTGGCTTTGGGCCCTGCCTTCATTCTTTATGTGGGGACCTAGAAGAAAACGGGGACGCCCTGTAAGAAAAGTTCCTTTACTGAGGTCAGAGGGAGAGATGGAGGGCGTTTACATCAGCGTGACTGGACAGTAAACAAGTTTTCTAGGTTTTTTTTTTTTCTCAGATTCAGAGTCTCAGTGTGTAACCCAGGCTGGTCTTGAGCGCACTGTGTACCCCGGAATTGTCTTGGACTCCCAGTGATTCTCTAGCTCAGCCTCCCAAGCGCTGGGATTACAGATGCACTCACTGCAAGCTGGGTCCTGAGACTGCGCACTTTGAGGAACTTAGCAGTGGGCCAAAGGAAACCACGAAAATGCAACCTGAGAAGGCAAAGCGCAACTTTAGATGTTTTAAGACCTTTATAACTTTTGATTTTTTTGTTTGTTTGTTTTTGTTTGGTGTTTTTAGATAAACGGCCCTCCAGCGGGGCAGGGGAGCCCATGTGGCAAAGGCAGTAAAAGGGACTTTGCCAATACAGTATGAACATAGGAAAGAGAAACTTTTGTCTGGCCGGAGTAGGCTGAGATTTTTGAGAGTGAAATCAGAGTGAGAGTTTGGGGTCTACATAAAAGTTGGAGAATATGGAAAAAACAGCTGGGAAGCACCTGTGACTGGGTAAAGAGTGTTTTTTGCTTTGAGAACTTAGCTTTTGTTTGGGAGAGGGCGCCTCCCAACTACCCCCTTATCACCTGCACAACCTTTGCAAAGCACCCCCTTCTTCAGCAGTGCCCCACCTACCCTTCAACCCCCACATTCCAGTCCACCCTGAGGAACACACTGCCATTCCCAGCTGAGCCTTCACCAGCTTTCACATCACTCCACTAACGGCCCATTCTTACCTAACCAACCTTATGCCCTTCCACCATCCAAAGGCCACCTCCTGCCTCCAGTTCCACTCCGAGCCCTCCCCCACCACATTCCCACTACTCCACACTCCCACTCCACACCATTCCCTTCTTTTGTACCCTGCCTCACAGCCTGACACATCACCCATCTCCCACTCCTGCACCCAGCCTTTGCTGCGACCCTCATCCCCATACCACCTACCATCCCCACCCTCTGTGCCCACCATTTCCACATTCCTTCCTTCACTCACCATCTTCATCCCCCTAACCCTCACCTCACCTCTCACCTGCCCCCCAACCTCCCCCAATTCTGCCCTGCTCCACTCCCACCCATGTCTAGCCTGGAGAAACTAAATGTATGCAGGTATCAAATACCTGTATTCCCAGCACTGGGAAAACTGAGGCAGGAGGCTTGCTGTGAGTTCCAAGCCAGCCTAGGCTAAAGAGTGAGTTCAAGGCCAACCCGAATTTCATAGCAAAACCTTGTCTCAAAAAGACTCTCACATGAAAAAAAAAAAAACTGCAGATGCTGGGCTAGGACATGGTGGTGGCCAGAAGAGATGAAGCAAGCCTGGAGTCACCGCTTCTCTTATTGTAGCCCTCTCCCCTCTATCCCTTCCTGAAAAAATCCCTTACACCAGCTCTCAATGAAATGATTACTTGAGGCAGAGGAGTCCTCTCCATGTCCTCTGAGCAAGCTGTAAGGAGAGTTCTTCTTCCCCACCAACATAAATGGCCTCCTTAGAGTTGGCTAGAAATTAAATAAACAATGAGAAATTCTTAACACCTATTAGACAGTCCCAGATAGGCTTGTGATGGAGTGAGTGGCTTTTGTGTGTGAAGGGGTGGGCAAGGAGATAGCAGGAAGCCATGTGGGTGCCAGTGTGTCGGGTACTGGAGAGCCAGATGTGGATGCTCACTTTAGAGAACTTGGTAGCAGCTGCTGGCAGTGGAGCTCCTGTACACACAGCCACGTAGAATGAGCTTGAATGAAGGGAAATAATGGGAACTGTGCACCATATACCCAAAACCACATGTGCACTGTATACATGGGTATACACCATTTCCATAAACAAAGCAACACACTTTTGTGTCATATATTTTTAAATTTTATTTTGAAAGTAGTAAAAAACAACAGAACAAGACAGAAGAAAGCAACTAAGATCGTATAGTGAAATTGGTACCGAATTTCACAGCAGGTTGCCGGGATAACAGTAATAGGTATCACAGTATATTTCGTTATCTTTACAATAGTTGTTCTTTCAACCATGGTTATCAAAATAAAATGAAATCCAGAACATTATACAACTTATCAAAACAGAATATTGAATAGAGCAGTACTATTAATCAGAATACAGCAAAACAGTAAAAAATATTTGCCTTGAAAGAGATGGTGAAAGGAAATCCCCTTATTTGCTATGGTCATCCTCCCAGGAGATGCTCAGATTTCTGGTTCCCATTTGCTAACGGCGGGGTGAGGGGTGGGGGGACAAGAAAAGGAGGGTAGGGGAAGTGGGATGTTTGATTCTAGGCTGTGCACCAGTAGGTTCACTATTGCTTACCAGGCAGGCGAGGTGCTTGCTTGGCTTCTCAGCATCCTAAGTTCCAACATGGTGCGGATCTCAGGAGACACTGGTGGGTCTTCACCTGGAAGGGCCGCAGTCAAAGCAACACACATTTACAGAGCACAAAAGTTGTAGACATGAAAGGACATAGGATGGTTTTCTCGTGGGGAAAGGAAACGAGAATACAAAGAATGAATCTGAGAATAATATTGAGCAAAACTTCTTTTATAGTAGGATCAAAAAGAGTAAACTTGTTTATGAACAAATTTAACAAGAGAAACAGCACATGTATAGTTATATGCAACTTACAGTGAAGTTTTGGTCAGTGAAGAATTGCATACATGCTTGTGGTAACAAGATTATTATGCAGATTTCTGGGTAGAGTGGTGTTCCCTGTTATCTAGCACTAAGGAGGCAAAGGCAGGAGGACTGGTGCAAGTTTGGGGTCTACAGAGTGAGTTCTCTGCCAGCCTGATCACAAGGAAAAGATTCCCCTCAGCAGCTGACAAAGCCGCTGTAAAGGTGTAATACAGCACACAGCTCATGCGTTTGTGCTCACAGGGATGCAAACAAAACTCCTGTGCTGCTAGTTGTGTGAAAATACAGCATATACAGTTCTGCATAGATGTAAGAATGACAATGGATGACACTGAATTATGTGTTTTCTATATAGTGCCTATTAGATCACTTTAGAGTGTTCTATTTGTATATATATTTTTAAATGTGTCCCATAAAATGCCAGGCGGGCAGTAGCTTCTGGAGCTTTATCACTGCATCTCTCAATCTCAGTAGGACTATAGTGAGTGGCTGCCCCATCCATTTAGGTTTGTGTGAGGGTCATACAGTGATGCGCATATGGTGGTGAATCTGGCTGATGAGAGTTCTCAAGTCCCTGTCAGTGAGTGACCCCTGACATGAATCTAAAACCTGTAAACACTGTCCAGAGAAATTTAACAAGATCAAAATATATGAATAAAAAATTCGGGTTGTCTCTCTGTCTGTCAGGCTGGCATAGCAAATGCCACAGATCAGGTGGCTTCTCAGATTTGTTTCTTACCATGGTGGAGGCCGGGAAGCCTGAGAGGAATGTGCTGGCTGAGGGAGTCTCTACTGAAGGCTCCATTGCTGGTTTGCAGGACGCCTCTGCTGGGTCTTCCAGGCAAAGTGAGAGATCTGTTCCCCTCTCTTGTGAGAAGGCCACTAATCCCATTCCTTGGGCTTTGCCCTTAGGACCTGATCACTTCCCAGAGGCATTGCCTCCAAACACCACCGCTCTGAGGAGTATGGCTCTGCAGACACATCTGATAGGACAGAAACATTGTTGAGTCCATAGAGGTGCCACATACATGTCCATAGGTGATATTGGTGACATGGTGAAGGTGGCAGTACTCTCAAGTCAGTCAGCAGATGGAGTGAAATTCCTAGCAGACTTACCTGGTCACTCAGTAACAGGTGATAAGCTGATTCTGATATTCATATTCCATAGGATATTCATATTCCATTGTGGGGACCCCAACAGCAAACATAATTTTGAAACAGAAGCAAGAGGGATCTTAGTGGATGGATAAGGGCCGTGAACTTAGAGCCTGTTTCCTGAGTCCTCACGGTTACCACAAAAAGAATTTATTATTTGGTGGAATTTGAGATACCAAGGATGCCCAAAACCGAGTGTGTTTTTGTCACAGGTTCTCTGAGAGTGGAGGTGCCACTAAGGAAACTGACCGTACGCCTGAACGACAATGTCACCATCCCCTGCAATTTCTCTGGCTTCGCAAGGCTGGACCTATGTGTTATGGCCATTAGGTGGTTTCGCATAGATCCTAAGTCTGGATTGAAGATCACGGTGTTCGAGGTATTTGGCATTAATAAAAACATTCCCAGAACTGGGGCCGAAGTGTCTCGAGAGAGGCTGCAGAGGGGCGACGCCTCACTGCAGCTGCCTGCGGTCCAGCTGGGGGATGCAGGAGAATACTGGTGCGAGGTGGTGGACACCCCTGCCATGGAAGATGACAGCATCTTGCTGGAAGTACTGGGTGAGTGCCTGACGGCAGAGGCCTGCAGTCTCACTGTGCTGGGTCCTGGGGTGGGATGCAGTTGGGTGCATGGGGTAGAGGGTCGAGTGTGGGTCTATCCCAGACATGAGCTCCCGTCCTGGGCTTCTATACACCTCTGGACGACCCTGGGGAGGTCATTAGTCAGTCTGAGCCTCAGTGGGCTACTGATGTTGGTCATAGGTGAGATTGGGGAAAAAAGGGTGAACAGCTTGCTCAGTCCTCACCAGGGCTCAGTAAGTGACAGCGCTAGCAGTTGGTAGCTAATTTCCTCCCACGTGAGTCCACAGTCAGTGTCACTGGGGAAGCCACAGGTCACTGGGAAAGGGAGAGGTCTGGGCCCTGGCTGGACTGACCTCAATCCTATCCCAGTGTTGCTGTTTCTAACCTGTGACTATGGCCAGTCATTTAGTTTCTTGAAACCTGAATTTTTCCATGTATTAAATGAGCTGTTAGCTACTACCTGCTCCATAATAAGATGTGAGATATTGTGGTACATGTCCATAAATGCCAGTGACCAGGGAGGCCGAAGCTGGAAGATCTCAATTGTGTGGATGTCCTGGGCCCCTTAGTGAGATGCTCTTTCAAAATAAAGCAAAAAGTATAATCAATAAAGAGAGGAAATAATATAGCAAAAGCATCACTGAGTGATAGTGGTTCCCTGGTATGGATGAAACTATCCAGCCATTTGCCTGTTGTACTGTAGGTAGGTTCTCTGTCAAGGTCAGATGCTCTTTGAGCTGCTCTTTCCTCTTTTATAAAAGAGTCTGAAATGTGGATGAGCGTTGTAGCTTTTAGTCTGTGGCATAACCACAGATGTTTATTTTCTTACAGTTCTGGATTCTAGAACTCTGAGGTCAGAGTGTCAGCGGGACTGCTTCCCCTTGAGTCCTCTGTTCTTGGCTTTCTCTCTGTTCTCCCTCATGGTTGTTTTCCTCTGTCTGTCCTAAATCTCTTTTCTTGAAAAGATACCTGTTACAATCGATTAGAACCACTCTGACAGTCTCATTCTAATGTAATTATTGTTTTGAGTGTTTATCTGCCAGTCTTCACATTCAGTGATACCAGGAACTCTGCAGTGCACATACGAGATGGAGGGAGACACAAATCCTAATGAAAGAGCAGCATTTCCAAATCCCCTTAAGTGTATGTGTTTCTTTGATCACTTTGTATCTACTAATATTAGGTGTGCAGAGTTTCAGTACTTGGAAAAATTTATTGATTGTGCAGCTTGCAGAAAGCCTGAAATAGCAGTGCCTTTTAAAAAAGCAATGAACAGAGTTATAAGATAGTTCAGTGGATTCTCTTGTTATTCCTACCACTCTGCAGAATTTATCATATCATTACCAGCTTCCCTTGGTATGCCGCAATTCATTTAATTAGTAAACCAATAATGATAAGTTCTTGTAACCAGTCCATAATTTATTCAAATTTCCTGAGTGTTCACTTAGTATGATTTTGTGTTCCAGGATCGCGTCTAGAACACAATACACTGTTAATTTGTGTGTCTCCATACTCTTTTTGGCTGTGAATGTTTCTAGACTTCCCTGGATTTTGATGTCCTCGACAGTTTTGAGCAGCAGTGGTCGAGCTGTTGTAGGAGCCACCCTCTTGGAGTTTGTTTACTGCACTTATAATGTGACTGGGGTTTGGATTTGGGAGGGTGATCACAGGTAAAGGGAGTTTGCAGCCCTCGTCCAGTCACATAATTCATGACTCTCCATGTCGCCCTTGATCTCCTGGGTGCAGTCCTATGTGCCTGGCTGCTTCATTGTTAAGTTACTCTTCCTCTCCGCTTCTGTGCTCTGCTTCTTGAGAGGAAGTCACTATGTGTGAGCCCACTTTAGGAAGTACACTTCTTTCTCTTTGGGATGCAGTGGCTCTGTGATTTATTTGGAATTCTTCACAGGAGGATTGTTTTTGTTTTTGCTTTTGTTTTTGATAGTCTCTGAGCAGACTGTATGCCCAGCTACCCCATTGAGAAATAGTAGGAACTCTTGGGAGTTTAAGTGGATCTTAGGGATACCTAAAGTGACTCCATAACAAGAGAATAGTATTTTAAACCCTCCATCCTTGTACATAGATCTTTGAGTGTTTCATGTGTATTAATATTGGAGGTACAGATGTATGTTCATTAGAATTCATTTATTCTGCAGCTTACAGAAACGCTGAAATAACTGTGGTTTAAAAAACTTAATAGAATAGTTAGATATCCATTGGGGTGCTGAGGATTTATCTCAACAGTAGAATACTTGCCTAGCAAGCTGGAAACCCTGGTTTTACTCTTCTGCACCAAAACATTGAAAAGCTTAAAAAAAGTTCCAGAGGGTTCTCATATTACTCCCATCATATGCTCCATCTACCTCATCATTAAAAGCTGAATTGATTATATATTAAATATTGAAAGAATAGTGTTCATTAATGTCCACAGCTTAAGATTATTTTTTTTTGTCTTTTTCCTTTTTATCGGTACCGGGAATCAAACCCACAACTACCTGTTTGCAAGGGAGGTGCTTATGCCACTGAGCTAAATCCCCAGCCCCTAGCTTAAGAGTATTTTAACTTTGACTTAATATGCTTCTTCTGTGCCAAGATCCCCTCTAGTGTACCACATTTCTTTGAGTAGTTCTTAATTTTACTAAGTGGAACCTTAACCAGCTTTTTCTTTCATGCTTCATGTTCTGGCATTCTACTCAATAATTTTGTGGTACCCCTGCAATTGCAGCCAGCGCCCCATGCATGCTAGGCTTTGCACTCTCATGCAGCTACATCCCTGGCCTTCACCCTGTGTTTGAAAGTGCATCACCAAATTCAAGACCACTGGATTTTTCTCCCACGATCGCTTAGAGCCATTTCATTGTCTTCTGTGTTTATTCAAATCTATGATCCATTTTAAATTAATGACTATAGAAACTAGGTGACTGCCCAAATTCCATGTGCATTGTTTGCATACGAATGTTGAATTTCATGTGGTCCCACCTACCTGCAGTAGGCATTGGTGATGGATTTTTCAACCTGGATGTGTTGCACCCAGCTAAAGACTAACATGAGAGTCAAGGTCACAGTGTGTCAACATCCTGCTGGCTGTGGTACCCTCAACCAGACTGTTAAACTTCAGCCAGGTCCCATTCAGTTTACTCACCTTCCTTGAAGTCTGACACAAGCTAGATATCAAATTGGAAGTCAGCTATTTTCTACTTCTTGTTCAGAAATTCCCAGTCTGGGAGAGATAGAGAGAACATGGCGGACAGACAACAGCAACTACTGAACGCTCTCTAAAGGCTCGGCTCAGAGGCCAGGAATGATGCGGACTAAGGAGATACGAACCAGTAGAGATATGCTCTGCTGACTCAGGAACGAACTGGGCTGAGAGAATCCAACTTGGAATACAGTCCTGGCGCTAAAATAGGAACAGAAAAATCTCGGTGTGGAGGCTCGACTCCGCGCCATTGGAAACCGCGGTTTGGATTTCCCGCCGCCCGGCGGCCGGCTACCTCCACAGCCGCTCGGCAAGGAGAGACGCGACCGCCGAGCTCTGGGAACGGGAGTCTGGGAACGGAGTTCCCGCGCCATCGGAAACCGCAGTTTGGATTTCCCGCCGCCCAGCGGCCGGCTACCTCCACAGCGGCTCGGCAAGGAGAGACGCGACCGCTGAGCTCTGGGAACGGGAGTCTGGGAACGGAGTTCCCGCGCCATTGGAAACCGCGGTTTGGATTTCCCGCCGCCCGGCGGCCGGCGCCTCCACAGCGGCTCGGCAAGGAGAGACGCGACCGCCGAGCTCTGGGAACGGGAGTCTGGGAATGGAGTTCCCACGCCATCGGAAACCGCGGTTTGGATTTCCCGCCGCCCGGCGGCCGGCTACCTCCATAGCGGCTCGGCAAGGAGAGACGCGCAGAGGCTTGGGAACGGGAGTCTGCGAACGGAGTCGGAAACGTGACGGACAGGGAGGAAGGCTGACTGGTGGCGAGGTGAGCGAGGAACTGACTCCCTACCGCAGTTTGACTCCAGCGGAGGTTTTTCTGGGCGCGGGCAGTCCTGTAAGAGCAGGGCGCGGTGGCAACTGCAGCTGCACGTTTCCCTCTCGGACGGGATTGGTGAAAGGTGCCTGGCTGGAGGGACGCTGCTGGCAGACTCCCTAGGCTGGCCTAACCCAGATCCCAGAGCCTGACGGTGGCCCGGAGGAGCGACCGACTCCCGCGTAGGCTGCCTCCTCCGCAGCTCCCTGGGGCGCAGCGGTGAGCGGGAACAACTAACCAGCGCAATTTGATCAAGCTGTGGCTGACAGGCAGGGAAGCCGGGCCTCCTGTGTAAGATTACATTTTATAAGGAACAGAAAATATGGGGAAGGGAAGCAACAAAAAAGGCTCCTCGACCCCCAATCCTGAGAATCAGGCAATAGTGGACACTGCACCAATATACATTAAGCGCCATTTAGAGAGCCTCATAGACCAATTCAGGAATGAAGTTATCAATGACCTGAAGCTAGAAGTATGCAGAATAGTTAGAGAAATGCTAAGCACCACCCAGGAAAAAGCAGATGGTGGAATGGAAGAACAGAAAAAGAGGGGAGAATTGCTTGATGGAGAAAACAGAGAAAGCATTGAGTATGTGAAGCAGGTGCAAAGGGACTATCAAGAAATCAAGAAGTCTACCCAAGACTGGCATAACAGCTTGAAAGAAACTAAGGACAGACTATCTGAATTGGAGGGCAGACTTGAAACATGGGAGAATGAAATGAAAAACTTCTTAAAAATAACAAAGAAACACACAGCAATAATACAAAGACAAGAAGATGAGAAGAGGAGCCATAACTTAAGGATTAAGAACATAAAAGAAGAAGTAGGGACACAAACAAGTGAACTACAAAAGCTACTCACAGAAATAATCCAGGAGAATTTTCCTAATTTAGCAAAAGGTAAAGATACTCAAATGTATGAGGCATACAGGACCCCAGCTACCTACAACCCTAACAGAGAAACACCCAGGCATATAATAATAAAAATTCCAGAAATTCAATACAAGAACAGAATATTAAAAGCTGTAAGAGACAAGAAACAGATCACTTACAAGGGAACAACCATCAGAATTACAGCAGATTTCTCTTCACAAACCATCAAATCACGAAGAGCATGGGGAGAAATAATTCAAGCTTTGAAAGATAATAATCTACAGCCAAGATTGAGATATCCTGCACAACTGTCCCTGGAAATTGATGGAAAAACGAGGTGCTTCCAAGATAAAGAGGAACTGGGGGAATTTGCAACCACCAATTCAACCCTACAGAAAGTATTGCAGGATATTCTAAAAAAAGAAAAATACAAAGAACCCAGAAATAGGGGCGGGGAGGCCACAACGAATGGAGCAGAGAACAAAATGAAGAAGACAAACTGACAGCTACTGACAGAAAAAGAGCTCAACAGAAATGAGACAGAGAAGATTGGATGATAGGAACAGCTTTTTTTGGAGAAAATGACATCTTAATAGGTAATGCTGATTTAGTACCATCTTGTTTTGAAGTCTCATCTAGCTTTTGTTCTTCTGTCTCCAATGGTCTAAACAGGTTGTATCTTATTGGATTTTGCTATGTACGATAGTATAAGAAAAAACCTTTTAAAGACAAGGAGATTATACAGAGACCATTGTTCATTTTCTGTTAGTCGATTCTAAATACTCTATAATGCTGTCATTCTCTTAAATGGATTTACATTGTTTTGATATAGTTAATGCTACAGTATATGAAGTTGTACTCAAGGACTTCAGGGAGGGAGTCAATATGGTAACTATTTTTGGGTCAGGATTATCTGGTGGTGAAACACTATTCTGCTTAAATGGTTATGTTTTGATCTGCCCTGTTTCGCTGTTATGCCCTCTTTTTTCTCAATCTCCACTCCATTATTTACTTTTTTATTTTTATCCATTTAATTAAAGGGAAAAATATAGCAGGATATAATATAGTAACCCACTTTGACTTTCTATTATCTCGATTTGAAGCCCTGTATTACTCTCACCATCTTGTTTTTGACTGAGGTTCCTATATTCTGTTTTGCTGGATAGTATCAGGTTCGAAAGTTTAGGCATCAGCTGAGAAGATAATGAGATTCATTATAACGCCCATTCTCGTTGACTTTTATCTACTTTTGAAGACCTACAATATCTCCAATGTTTTGGTTTTGTCGGTTTTATTCTTTACGGTTTTGTTCAATTGTATTACAACTAATGATATAGGCAATTCTATTAGAAATAGCGGGAGGCATTATGGTAACCATTGTTGATCACCTTGTATTATGTTTTTATATTATCTATTATGTCCACCCTTTTGACTTGACCGATTCTGTTCTGTTATGTCACATTTGGTTTTACTCTCTTCCAAAAAAGCAACAAGAACCGTGGGAGCAATGAAACCCAAAATGTGTAATAGTCACTGTACAAAAGAGAGGAAAAGAAAGTGCTCTAAACTATATAACTGCATGTATATTTAAATGTATAAGATAGAAAATGATATCACAGAGTTTTATTGGATCATTGAACAGAACTGTTTGCAGTATCATTGTTGGAATGTCCACTCTACAAGCTTTAATTTTGTGACTTGAACAATTATTTCTAAGATGGCAATATGTAATCCATTAACTAGTGATTTCCTACTGCGCATTTTTTTATTCTGTAAATCTGTATAACTTGTACCCCTTCACTGTTTTTTTTTCTTTCTTTTCTTTTCTCCTTAAATAAAAATTAAAAAAAAAAAAAAAAAAAAAAGAAATTCCCAGTCTGTGGTAGCAACTCGGTAAGTTTTGAGTTTATTGCTCAGCATGGTTGAGGCATTATCTCTGCCTCTGAGTGTACATCTCTGAAAACAGTGGACCCTCGTGGTTTCAGATTTTTGGTTGCCCGGCTATGGGAGAGAGATGCTAATGTGTAGGTGTGGCAGAATCCAGTTAGTTTGATGTGGGAGAAGAAAAGTGTAATTAGTGCTGAGCTCAACTATGTGACTTCTCTTCCCTGGCAGCTGTGCCAACCAGCAGAGTGTTTGTGGAACAGACCACGGGGACCGGTAACAGTATGTACCTTGTGTGTCAGTCCTTTGGGTTCTACCCAGAAGCCATTAACATAACATGGGAGAAGCGGACCCACAATGTTTCCCAGGACCAGAGGATTTCTACAGACATCTATACTGATCCCATCACCCTGAATGAGGATGGTACCTTTAACATCACCAGCTACTTGAAACTCATTGCCTCTCTGGAAGACACCTACTATTGTGTAGTGGATCACACATCCTTGCAAACCTCCCAGAGGCTGAACTGTACACTGTTTGTGAGAAGTAAGCATCTTTTTACATTTCCTCACTCTGCACCTCGGTTCCTGGGCAGTCTAAAGTGTTTGCTAATGTTTTATGATGAAAAGGATAAACTTGGGCTAAGGCAACAAGCTGAAGTCTGGCCTAACTGAGCCCCAGGGGCAGCAGTCTGAGTTCAGTCCCTGTCCAGGTGCTTGGCCAGGTAGGTGGAGAGGGGTGGTAGTAGTCATCAGGTGGAGACGGGGCTACTTGCCAGGTCATGGCAGCTTCAGGTTTCTGGATGGTCCTTGTAGCTGGGACTGGAGAGCTTGTCAGCTGCAAGGAAAAGGTGACGGGATTTTTCCTTGTCCCCTGATGGTAGGAGGTTTTTGGGCAAGAGGACCAGCGCCTCTTTTATTCAGGCTCCAGGTCCACTATACACTGCTATCTTATGGAGTCCAAATGAGTAATCCTTAATAGGTTCTGTCCCACATGAGGAGGCCGTAAAAGGGTGGTCCTACAAATCCCCATGGCTCTCTGCAGACATACCCAACCCTTTCATAACAGGACTTCTAAAATCTCCTTCCTCCTGGGGCTTTTGGGCTCAAATGTTGGTTGCCAAGTTCATTTCTCTGTTGTTAAGGGAGGAGGATACTGCTGATGAAATGAATATTCCTGGGAGCCCAGCGCCCTAGGGAATGTGAATGGGACAAGCCATATTGGACCTTGGATGACACTAAAGGAGAACTGCAGTGTTCTTAAAACAAAGACTGGGCTATATTTGTAGGCACAGTGTGCAAAGCATGTTTAGACTCCAAAGAGTGTGAAACTTAAATATGTTTTGTGTATTGGTAGGAAGACCTGCTGTGAATGTTTGAACATATGTGGGCAGAGCTAGCGTGGCCTGGACATTGGGAGGATGTGTATGACACATGTGTGTGTGTCATGTATTTAGTGCAACCCACTTTTTGAGACAAGTGTTCAGCATAGTAAGTCCCTGAGTTATGAACCAGCTCAGTTCTGGAAGGATATTCTTAAGTCAGATCCATCTGTATGTCAGGGAAAGTGAGTCTTATACACCTTTGACAGAAATATACAATGTAGAGCATAAAAACCCAAACACAAAAATACTGTAAGTTCACTATCTGTACTTCTATAGCTACCTTAAAATGGTGATCTAGTACAACACAAGTGACAACACGGGACTGCATGGTTGTTACCGTGGGCCTCCTGGCAGTCCCCCCACCTCCCCACTGCGATGTTGTCCAGGAGACACATGAGCTCATCCTGACCCACAGTTTGTTCCCATCTATGAACATTCACAATGTAATTTCTATTTGTATCTGTAAAAGTTCCCAGCTCAAATGTTCCTAAGTTGGGGGTTTCCTGTGCTCAGATGTGGGAGATATGTGTGATAGGAAAGGGGATGCCGCCAAGACCTGTGGCATGGTGTTGGTGGTGGGATCTCTTGACAGGAAAATAAGACAAAGCTCACTGGTGCTAGCGACCATTGTTTTGTGAGGTGTGTTTTAGGCCCTTGCCAATGATTTCTTCTTACTTTTCTCTCTCTTTTGTCCCCAGATGCTGTGATGAGAAATCACGTCTGCATTCTCTCTGTATTTCTCATTTTGCTGATTTTAATAGTGATTTTTGTTTCTTATTGTATATCCAAAAGGTAAGGGGCTCTCTGTTACTTTTCTCACTGCTGAGACAAAACGCCTGACACCCAAAGTTAAAGGGGAAAGATTTATTTAGCTCACAGTATGTTGAGGTTTCTTTCCATAACTGGCTGCCTCCAAGGAAGGTGGCTTACCACTACAGCACAGTTCATGGAGGGTAGAAAGCGGCAAAATCAAGAAGACCTTAGCACCTTTTTGCCTTTTTTCTGCCTCTTTTATAGTCTGTCAAGGCTACTGGTATTAGGGCCATACCAAATGAATCAGTGGACTAATTTAGTAATCACAAGCTTTAAACCCAGCATTGTCCCATGAATCAATCAAACACTCTAGATCAAGCCACCTCTGGAGAAGCTCCACCTATAACTATATGGCATTTTGGGGGAGTCATCTAGACACAAGTCAGAAGAGGCTCTGAAAGAAAGCGTAGTCCTTTGTTTTGGACTTAGCTCCAAAACCTCAGGATCATGATCAGTAGGTGGGGTCAGGAAGTTCTGAGAGTTGGTGCTGCTGTGTTGGAAGCGTTGTGTGTGGTTCTCTCTGATGTTGTGTTGGGGAAGAACTTTGCTGTGGGATCATCATGTGTTGGTTTATGACATTGGGCAGATGCATTCTGGAGCTTCTTTTGTCTCCATGTAAGTGTGACTTTAAATTGAACCTGACCATGTGAACTCAGATAAGGGTTTTGAACTATGTGCAGGCTGCGTTATTCTGATGAACACCAGGCCCACAGCTGAGAGAAGAGAATTCCTTCCATATTTGCTCATGTCTACTTCATGCTGCAGTGGGATAACTCACTACTGGTTCTTTCTGTCTTGGTTCAGACTCTATTCACCTTCAGCAAGTGACACAGCATGCTAGGCAAGCATTCTGCCAATGTGATACAGGGCTGCTGCCTAAAATGGTTATATGTGATTCTTAGTTATTTATGGACTCACCCAGGTGAGGTCTGTGTAAGAATCAACACTTCTGGTTGTAAACGAAAAAATGAGAAACTGAGTTTGTCAACAAGAAAACTGTGCATCTCACGTTAGTTAAGTGATTTGTGGAACTTAATCTCCCAGTGTGACTTAAGCCAATGGAAAACACAGTACAAAGTGACTTTCACATGCTTCTTGTAATGCTTGTGGTTGTTTTCATTTTTGTCCTCTCTCTGATTCTCATGTGCAGGTGCTGTTGTAAAAAATCACAAGCTGTGACCCTGAAGAAGGAAGCACAGAACTATAATATATGACAGAGGTTTACAGAGATGAGCTCAAACCTTCACACCTCTCTGTGCCTGCATCTGTTGCCACATAACTTTCAGTGTCTTCCAATGCACTCCCTGGACATTGGGCTCCAACTTATGCCTCGCTTTAATCAATGGAAGAAAGTGACTACAAGCCAGTTCCCAATGCAGCCCTGGAGAGGCCTTTTGTTTCTCCATTTTCTGTCTTTGGTGCCTCTGAAATGAGAAGGATGAATCTCAGCTGGCCAGCTAGAGGATGAGCAATACAGGAAGCAGAATGACATCATTCTTGGTGAAGTGGCAGTCATTCATCTCCACTCATGACAATCTACCTGTGGTCAGCAGTGCTGACAAAGCCAACTGTCAGTGCAAGAGAAGTATTTTTTAACTAAATATTTGTTTTTGAATAAAGATATTGAAAAATATTCATGAACTATTATGTGTGGGGAGCAACTGGAGCTGGAGGTTAATCAGATGCGCAGGGCTAAAGCAATGCCAGTCCTGAGAACTCAGAGCACCTCAGGTGAGCCATGCAAATAAGCTGCTGCAGCCTGCAGAACACAAGGTGCTCGAGGCAAGCCAGACAAACAAGTTGCTAGGCAGAAAGATTTCAACTGACTTTGGCCTCCACAGTGCAACTAATTTTCTCCCACCAGAAAAGGAGGCTTCACCCAATCTTAGCTTTCAGTATTCTGACTTTTGGCTTCATTTTTTTGTCCTCGCCTGTCCTCTCCTTATGAATTTTGAGAGCTGCACTGGACATGACATTTTGGTATCTGAAGAAGGACCTGGAACATGAGGAAACTCATTATATAGCAGATGAGAGGACACATTGTGGGTATGTACGTGAACGAAACAGGATGCCATGAAGCAAGAACACACATCAGGCTGGAGAAAAGGATAGGAGAGATAATTGTATTGATATTTTCAACATCCATGTCATGAGGTATAAAACATGGGAGAAAGAGGTTCTCAAAAACAACAGATTTGTGTACAAATGCTTATTGTATTACTATATTATGGATTCCTCTATTTATTTTTCTGTTGTGGACCGGGATAAGGGATTATCTCAGTGATCATAAGCATGTTGAGAAGACCAAAGAGGAATCGACTTGAAGCATTACTTTTTTTATTTTGTCTTTTTGAGATAGTATTTCATTATGCAGTTGAGGCTAGCCTCAAACTTGCACTGATGCTCTTACCTCAGTCTCCCAAATGCTGGGATTACAGGCGTGTGCCACAATGCCCGGCTTGAAGCACTACCTAAAAGCTAAGTACCAAGCAGAAAAAGGATAGTGGAACTTTAGGAGAAAATGTACCCATCACCCCAGCCAGTGTATGTCATTTTGTTACTTGCTCAGGTAATAGTTCCCGTTCGGGTTATAGTTGCTCCTGTCTCTTTTAATCAGCTGGTCACTATGATGCACACTGTGTAAACCAATCCCCAACAGAGAAGCCATGCTCGCTGTGTGTTTCCCCGTTTTTTATCTGATATAAGCCCTAGACCACCAGAGATGCGGACCTGACATTTTGAGAATGATCTCATCACTGCCCATTGATGTAAATAAATCTACCTCTGAATCCTGAGTGTTGTTTTGGTGTTTCTGCTTGCTGTTGAAAAGCAGTAGCCCCCTGATAGATCTTGAAATGTCTCACCTTGCTCAATCAAATAAGGAAAAAACTGTGGAGGAGGTTTGAAGTCCCCTTCCCATTAGAAGAGTGTTTTGTTGTGACTTCCATTTCACATTCACCCAAAAAAAAAAAAACAAAACAAAACTGATAACCTGAAGCGCTCCACAAGTGACTGCTTCCACTTTGAGTTCAAAATATTTTTGCCATGTCACAGGTGCCCTTTATAGAAAAGAGTCATCCCTTACATTTGGCACTAAAAGAACCTAGGGTGTTAGGAGAATCCTTGGAGGGTTTTCAGCATTTTTTTCCATTTGCTGAAGTCCCAGATCACAATAATGTGTGACAACTTGTATCTTCATGAAGCTGTACATTTTAAGACTTTAAAAGAACAAATGACCTTAAACAAGTGACCACTACCTATGGCCCAACAGCTCTTTTTATCTTGGGTTGTATAGAGGTCATAGGACAAGTGGTCATGGGGCCAAATGATTGGAAAGGAGCTAAAACATGTTTAAGTACAGGGGATTATTTATTGTGGAAGGGAAAAGCCAACCTGTGCCCAGAGCAGGCTGCTCACAAAGCCACTGACAACATGGCCATTACAACAGTCATTTAACCCAGTGAAGGTGCCTTTGCTGCCACCAATAAACAACTTTGTTTCGAATTGTAAGCATATCAACAAATTAAAATAGCGGCCACCAGGGCTTGCAGGTAACTTCCTTGAAATGATGGGACATCTCTTGGTTGGACTTCCATTTGCCAGGATCCTGATGAACCTATTCAGGATTTCTCAGCACTGGAATTGCAAGCTAAAGAGAGGATTATCAATGACACAGAGGCTGGCACATTAATATTTAAGAATGGCCTTTGGAAAGTAAATGGTGCGAAGAGGTTGTAAGAGTCGACAAAAAAAGGAGTTAGAGTGTCTGAGATGATTTGGATTTGTGTCTTGGTCCCTCATTATATAAAAGGGGCTGCCTTGACAGCAGCTATTCCTCAGGCTTTTCATCCCCAGCCTAGAGGAAAAGGAAAGAATAAGGTTGCTTGTTCCAGCTGCAGAGGCACAGACATCACCTCAAAAGTGCTCCTCTGTACCTATAAGGGCAACACAGACATTAGCTGTCCCTTCAACAAAACCTTCATTAGAATATGTGTCCAAAGTGTAGATGAGGCTATCCTTGGGCTACACTGAGTGTAGATTCAAAGCTGATATGGAGGACTCACCCATTCCACGAAACTTTCAGCAAGGCCTGGCCTGGTTCGAACCAAAAACTTGAAGTCCTTTCTCTAATTCCTCCCCAACCCTGCTCTCCACTGTGAAGAACATTTCTGAATTCGGTGAACAATAAAAACAGTGGAGCCTTGGACCTCAGTCTCTCCTCAAGATTCACAGTAACTGCTGAAATCAGAGCCCAGGCGTTTCCTCCTGGAGTTTGTGGACCTTCACTCCCAAGGACAATGAGACTCATGATGGGCCACAGAACTCTCACTGAAAGGTCTCCAGGTTTTGCCTCATATCATGGATGCTGAGTGTGCAGGGAAGATCACAGTTAGGGTTCCAGGGATTCAGTGCACTGTTCAAGTCATCCCAGACTCTCCTATTGCTCAATTGGTTACTTGCCCTTTGACAAACATTTGAGAATCTGTGAACAAGGAAAGAAGATCCAAGTGTTTTTGGGCTCTCTGATACTTACTGGGTTCAACAGGTTAAACAAGATCATCCTAGACGGAATTGATCACTGAGGCAGAAATATGCAAAGGGCTTTCAGGCTCAGGTGCAGATGTTTCAGTTGCTGCCCAATGTCAATGGCCATGGCAGTGTAGCAACTGCAGATCTGCAGGAGGTGTGCAGTGTTTCTTACCCTAGCAGAAGTGCTAAATTGTTAACCTGGAGGGATGCAGAAGTCCATTCCAGACGTTCCTCACCTCATGTTCTTTCCCATATGCCACTTACTTTATGGGGTTGTGATGTATACAGGACATGGAGCCATTTTTGGTCAGTCCTAACTCCTTGAGTTTCAACAGATATTATGACAAGTTTGCTCCCCTACTGAAGGGCATGGTAAATACCATCATGGAGGGAGAGAACTCCTTCCAGTAGACCCCAAAAAGGACTGTTGGCATAGGTTATTTTGCTTCACAT